GTTATTTAATAATACCATGGTTGATACGAAAAATGTGAAGGCCAGTGTTTTTGTCGGTGATAAGCCGCTGGAATTCAGATCCTATTTAAATGTACTTGGTTACAATCAAACTCCTATCCAATAATCAATATTCAATAATCAGAAATGAACAAGATATATATTGTAACTATATTGCTTGCCCTGTTTTTAGCTGGAGTAGATACCAGTAAGGCGCAGGAAAGAAACAAAAAGACTTTTATTTTTAAGTTTGAAGCTAGCGGCATCGATGAAACGCAGGCGCCAAGCCTTAATAGCCAGATAGATTATACGAGAAACACTACTAATTTAAGCACTGGTGATGATCGTTGGATTTGTAGTTTCAAAAGCATCAGTGATCCTAACTGGGGCCTGGTAGCGCTTCATTTTCGGAAGGAAAGTGGAATGATTTCCATTGTTTTTAACGCTTCCAGCAGTAATAATAACCATAGAAATATTTACAACCTGTTTCATACAAAGGTCAGAGCGAGAAATGGCTGGAATGTATTAAAATTTGAAGTGGAAAATGAACTGATGTGGGTTACCTGTATTCCAGGAAGCCAAAAGAGTGCCTTTGATACAAGTAAGGCTGAGGGAGAAGGCATCCTCTGGAAAACAAAGGACCTGAAACCATTTCTTTCAGGTGTTGTAGATACGAATATCCATGTCAACGCTCATTTATTGGACTCCCTTAGTGAATACAAGCCCAGAGGTCTTTCAGAATCTTACTTAGACGATCCTGTTTACGACGAATACGGCTACAGCGATGAAGACCTGACACAGGCCATGCAAATGGGTAACGGGTTGCACTTTGATGGCAGCAATGATTATGTATCTGTTCCCGCATCAACATCCTTTAGTTTTGGAACCGGCAATTTCAGTCTGCAGGCCTGGGTGAAGTGTACCCCCTCCAACGACATACGTATCGCCATTGGTCGTTTTAATGGGTCCGGTAATGATTATTGGTTAGGCAGCAATAATAATAAAGCAGCTTTTTCTATTTCCGGGTTGACGATTACAGGCTCAAAAACAATAAGTGACGGAAACTGGCATCATATAACCGGGGTTAGAAGTGGGGGAGTACTATCCTTATATGTGGATGGTGTGCCTGATGCGGCTAATATTGCAAATACGCGACTGGCAAATCCCTCGGGACCATTGTATATCGGTGCGTTCAATACCGGTTATAATTTCCCCGGCGTTATTGATGAAGTCCGTATCTGGAATACCGCACTGTCTGAAGAGGATATTCAGCAGACCATGAATGTAAAACATAACGGCATAGAAACAGGACTGGTAGCTTATTATGATTTTGATCACGGAAGTACCTGTGGTGCCAATCCTGGCGTCTCCTCGCTAGTAGATTTAACCGGTCACAATCATAACGGCACCCTCCAGAATTTTGCATTGACGGGTACGACCTCTAATTGGGTGCCTGGTGTTTCTCCACCGTCTGCCAAGGGTATATGTGTAGGTGCCACCGCTAACCTGAAGAATCTTGTGTTCGGCGGGGTATGGTCCAGCTCCAATAATAATATAGCCACTGTCAGCAGCTCTGGCCTGGTAACCGGCCTTACACCTGGCACGGTAAATATCAATTATACCCTGCCCGGCACCAACGGTTGTGCCAACGTATCTACCGCTATTATTACCGTAAATGCACTGCCAACCACAGCTGTTATTACGGGAAATGGATTACACTTTGACGGGGCGAATGATTATGTAAATGTCAACGCGACTTTAGGAAATTTTGGTACCGGCGACTTTACAGCAGAGGTGAATTTCCGTACTACAGCTACTACTACCTTCCTGATGTCTAAAAGAGCAGTGTGTAATCACGGCAACTTCTGGAATTTATTGGTAGATCCAAACGGCAAGTTCACGGCAGAGCTGGATGAAAGTAGCACCGGCACTAACTATACCACCTTGAGGAGTACCCAATCTGTGAATGACGGTCAATGGCATCATGCGGCAGTAGTGCGCAGCAATGGTGTCCTGAAATTATATATAGACGGTGTCCTCAGCAGCTCAGTTCCGTGTATTACCAATCTCAACAATACCAACCTGTTCCGGTTAGGCTATATCTGCGCAGCTAATCAAAATTTTAAAGGTACCCTGGACGAAGTACGTATCTGGAATATGGCACGCACAGAGGCAGAACTACTGGCCAATAGAAACACGGAGCTGGCTGGTAATGAGCCTGGACTGATGGCCTATTATAATTTTAATACCGGGCAGGCCGCAGGTGCGAACACGGGCAGCAATACGCTGACAGATAGATCCGGCAAAGGCAATACGGGTACACTTACCAATTTTGCATTAACCGGTGCCACCTCCAACTGGGTAGCCGGCTCGGGTGCAACCCTGAAAGCTGCATTGTCTAACGGGATGAGCTTCGACGGATTCAATGACTATGTGACCGTAATAACCGGCAATAATTTTCCGATGGGCAATAGCAGTTATACACTGGAAGCCTGGATAAAACCCAATAACCATACGGCTGCCGGTATTATCGGCTGGGGCGATCAATCAAATAGCGTAACTATTTTACAGGGTAAAGCCAATGTATTGAAGCTGGGCGCCAATAATACCATTGTTAATAGCTGGGTCACCGGCGAGCTGATAGTTACAGCTGCAAACCTGGCTGATGGTAAATGGCACCACATAGCCGCCACCTATGATGGTACTAACCGCAAAATTTATGTAGATGGGGCAGTGGCCGGACAGGATAATCCGGGTGATAACAATGTCACGAATAAAGCCAATATCACCATCGGCCGTACCGATAACAACGAATATTTCAATGGTAATATGGATGAAGTGCGCGTATGGAATATTGCCCGCACCGAATCACAGATCAGGTCTTCCATGTATGCAGAATTAGGAGGCGCTGAAGCCGGCCTGGCC